ATTAAAGTATATTATATAAGCTTTAATTTAAGATATATATAAAAGTGTCAGTATTTCCGGAATACTTTCAAAAATTAAATTAAAAATATCTTAGTAACAATACGCATGTTTTTGATACGCAAATCAATTGATCAATACGCATATTGATCAATAAATTTTTCAAAAATTATATAAAATATAAAATCGAGAATTTTTTCACGGAAATCGTACGATTTTCTTTAACTTTGATGTCCGTTTTCACCACGAAGACAAGTCCAGAGGTCAAATTTTTTTTTTTCAAATTAAAGTATATTACATAAGCTTTAATTTAAGATATATATAAAAGTGTCAGTCTTTCCGGAATATTTTCAAAAGTTAAGTTGAAAAAGTTCTACTTTCTATACGCATTTTAAAAGGTTTGCACCCCCCCTGTATAAAGGGAAATGGTCCGATTTTAAAAAAAAGTATGTCGAATGAAAGAAGTATATATAAAGTATTTATCATTAAAGAATAAAGTTGATTCATGCATTTTTTAAAAAGTTATAGCAACATAATGTTAAAAAATGTAAAATATAATATCAAGAATTTTTTCACAAAAATAGCATATTTTTGCATACGGTAGTCATTTTCACCATGAAGACAAGTCCAGAGGTCAAATTTTTTTTTTTCAAATTAAAGTATATTACATTAGCTTTAATTTAAGGTATATATAAAATTGTCAGTCTTTCCGGAACATTTTCAAAAGTTAAGTTGAAAAAGTTAATTTTTTGTAAAAAAGTTACCATTTTGAAACCCCATCCTTTGGGCTGTTAAAGGGTCAAATGTTCACAAAAATATATAAAATGATAGGTAATTATCTAAGGTATCTATAAAAAAAAAAATTATATTGATTCGGTCATTTTTAAAAAAGTTATGGCAATTTTAAGTAAAAAAAATTGAAAAAATATCGAAAATTAGCGATTTTTAAATTTGTAATTTTTTGGGGGATTTCCCCCGTTTACGGGGAACGAGGGAATTTTTTTCAATTTTTGAGGGTAATGTCTTCGACTAGATACGATTTGTGATCTTTTGACATATTGTTCATCAAAATCGGTCCAGCGAGAGATGAGATTGAGCGTTCACAGACACAACAAAAAAAAAAAAAAAATAAAAAAAAAAACACATCATAGTAAAATTAATACCTTCTCAGCTTTGCATCGAAGCTAAAAAACACATCATAGTAAAATTAATACTTTCTCAGCTTCGCATCGAAGCTAATATACTGATTTGGTCATTTTTGATAAAGTTATAACAGTTAACAAAGTTATAAGTTTTATACACTGGACTATAAGGAACTTCCATCAGAAGCAAAAATATTTTTTTCTAAATCAACTTTTCGCGTTGTTTTCAAATCTGCAAGTAGACTTTTTCTATCGCTTCTAATCTTATTATATAATAGAACAAGGAAAAAAACGCTTTTCTAGGAAAATTACTTAGCATGCTCGGATTTTCAAATTTTTTTTTTTCAACGAAAGTACTCAGTCACCAGTCTCCGGGAAAATTATTGGCGAAGGTCGGAAAATTTTTGCCGCTCGCCCGCAACCGTTTTAAAATTTCGACCGTTTTCGAGAAAAACGCTTGTTGACGCCAACATTTTACGACTTAAGGTTTGAAATTTTCATCAGACCCGTCCAATGACATTCCTGAGATATGATAAAAAAATCAATTTAATCCGTTCATTTTTCACCGTTTTACTAGCTTTTTTTTTTTCATGCGCTCGAGATGCCAGGGCGCGCCGCTCGAAATTCTTGCGATACTTTACGACATGAAAACGATTTTCTATACGATTCGAAATCATACCACGGCGTTCTGTATGTGTCGAGGAAGGGCCAAAAATTGGAAAATCCCAGATCCGACAAAAACTCTGGCCGCTACGAGCGTTTGAAATTCATCAAATTTTAACAGAAAATGACAATTTTTCTGATGCGCTCGATGTCCCGCTGGCTTACGTTATGGCGATCCGTGCGTCGGTAGAGGCATTAGGAACGCTCCGCTACACCGGATCCTTAGGGATCCAATAGCGAGCGTCTTCTACAATCGTGGGCGGCTACACTCCGCGAGACAAGGAGTGCCCTCGCCACCATGCCGGTGCCGGGAGAGGGTGCTACCTCCTCCCCACAGCGCCTGGCTACCACTGCCGCGGTGGTACAGC